GTTCAAGAAAGGGACATAACATTAAGGCGAATTGTCACTTGCAATCGGGGCAGTGGAATAGTTCGACAGAAAAAACTAAATGCAGCATGTGTTCAGATGACCACGCTGTTTATAAATGTCCACGATTTTTAGCGCTTACATCACAAGATCGATGGTCTCACGCAAAGAGCAAGAGTATCTGCTTTGTCTGTCTTAGGCAAGGAGATAAAGTTAATGAATGTAAGCTGACAAAGCACTGTAACGTTGATGGGTGTGAGAAGAAACACCACTCTCTGCTGCACAGCAATTCGACAACCAACGGCGCAAATGATAAACCTGGTACTCAGAATTGTTGCGGATATACGAAATCACTAAACAGTCAAGTGTGTTAAGAAATGATTCCCGTACGGTTGAGATCGAAAAATTCTGAAATTGTGGGTTATGTTTTGTTGGATAACGGTTCTGATGTGACAGTGATAAAATCAAACTGTTTGACGTCTCTCGGGCTGAAGGAAGACCAAGCGTCAGTGGTAGTTGAGACTGTGGGTGGTAATAGAACAACGAATGCGTCTTTTGATGTATATTCTTTAGATCGGTCTGAACACATTACGATTGAAGGAGCTTTAATTGTAGCAAATATACCAGGGCATAAGCCAACGAAGTCGGCAATGGACAACCTAGTTAAGTGGCCGCATTTAAGTGATGTACCAATAGATAGCCTAGACTCTGGAGAAGTTATACTGTTGGTTGATTGAGATGTGCTGGAAGCAAATTGGGTGTTAGACCAGCGGTTGGGTGGAAGAAAAAACCCATACGCTGTGAAAACGTTACTAGAGTGGGCTGTCTTTGGACCTGCATCATGCCCGGAATTCAGGAAGAGAGTTGTTAATCATATTAGTAAAGTACAGACATTGGAGAACCAAATACGTAAGCTTTGTATCCAAGTGATAAGTCAATATTAGTAGAAGACAATGCGGCTATAGTGATTGTGGAAAGGGGCACGCGCTTCTACAATGGTCATTTTGTAGTTCCTATACCATGGAAAAAGAATCCAAATAGGAAAGTGGGGAATTATGAACTAGCAAACAGTAGATTACAGAGTTTGAAGCGTATGTTGTTGAAGGATGACTGTAAGATACAAGTTAAGGTTTTGACTTAAGAATAGCTGTCCATGTGGGTTAGATACGCGCCCTTGCCCGGTTGAAGCCAAAAAAAATTAATTGTGTAAAATGACGGTTCTATGATTCATCATAAATTTAAATCTACATCGTTACCTAAACAAATACGACCACCCAGCAATCCAACCAATAACTGTTCAACCAATCAAACCTAAATTACAATAAATAAGGAAGTTGATAAACGATGCGAGAAAATTACTAATCACTACAAATAATTGTTGTTCTATCCTGTCCGAATAGACCATGCACAGATTCGTTCAAAAGACAATATTTGGTTGCATTATAACAGAGTGTTTCCAATTCTGGAAGACTGCCTCAATTCATAATCAAAAATGTACGATTCCAGTCAATACAAGAAACGCAAAAAAAGGAGGAACAAACCAATATGACTGCCGCCAAGACTAAGTATCAAGTAAAACAACATAAATGCAGTTCAGGAAGAAACACGAAAACTTAGTGAAGGCGTAAGAAAAATAAAAACTATAATAAAATACAAATATTAACAACTTAAATGGAATCAAAAAGGCTAACAATGTATAACTAAAGGAATCAATAAGAACAAACTGCAAGTGTATACATGGAGGGATTTTTACACACGAAACATTCAAAATGGATCTTATAGGAATGTTGTAATTATGTCGATACACAATCTGTTCTTGCGGAATCCGATTTTTTGAAAAATAAAGTCTGTAATTAAATCCAAATATTAACAACTGAAACGGAATTCTGTGCACATGCTGAACACATTTCGACTTCTCAAATGATCTTCACTTTCTATACCACACACATAAAATAACGAATTCAGGTGAATACAGACAGTGTGGCATCAGCCTCTAAAACAGTAGACCTCAACATACACGAGTGAAAATGCAACACCATCCAAATGACACGTGATGTTGGAACTGTAGAAGAGTTGGGAGCCTCTGCCCTCCTGGACAGAATCAATCAATAACAAGGAGGATACAACGCAGGTGTGACTGCATGAATCGGCAAAGCAAATGGAGCACACATACAATCGAAGAGTATCTGGAACACATAATAACTAACAGTCAGAGAACACCGAACTCACAATCTTCAACACCATCTTTGAAATAGGTCTATTGTACTGAACTGAAACTGACAGAAATGTTCACGTATATATATGAATAACTGTGAATGGAAGATGCTCCATATCCATTGACCAGACATCCTGAACAACAACCTACTATTTCAGAGGACGAATCAAATGTGAATTGAGGAGGACACTAGAAAATGACGTTGTAGACGGAAAACCATTTAACATCATCACAAAGTAAATCGTAACATGGAATCCTGAATGGAAGGGGAAGAAGGACAGACCAAATAACACATGAAATGAGGAATTGGAGGTAAACGTAAGAGCATGAACAATACTGCGAAGAACCATAAAGGAAAAAGTATTGCAGAGATTGTTGGAGGATCCTGGTCGATGGTCTATGCGTTGGCCCGTGAGGAGTAACAGGAGTAATCAAGTAAATAAGTATGCATTTTGATATGTCTCCACACATTATTTGTACCTTCTCCTTTCTTTCTTGACACACTACAATCTTCCTTACATTGAACAATTCACACAGAACTCCATTTTTAAGCATGAAACATTGTTTACTGTATAAATTCACCCTGACAAGATTAACGAATTATATGATGGTTTCAAATCCACTCCTCACTAAGTATGTGAGTACTTAAGTATGTGGAACACTTGCGTCATCCGTCACTGTTAGCACACAACAAGAATCGAATCGTCGAATCAACCACTGTTTGTATGACGCACTCATCAGACAGAAAAACTAAATTCAATAATCAGTGAGGACCTAATATCATTAGTTCTTTCTTGTTGCCTACATTCTGAGATGATTATTTTTGGTTGTATAGGGTGATAGAACACAGATTGAACTCCTTCATTTGTGTGGATTTACGGTTATTGTACGTCCCCTAGCCCACAACATATTTGTTCCGAATGTGTTTCTATTTTTAGCTAATAACCTATCGTTGACCCAGCTGGTTATGATAACTTCAAATGGTAGATAATTGTGCCAGTTAAACAAATTAATTGAACTGTGTTACTTATACATTTTAAAAACCATGCACAACGGGGTTAATGAGAGCGACCTTCTGCGTAAGGATACTTCTCTACCAGGGAAACTGAAAGGATTTTCGCTGCAGCTATGAGCTTTTTCATAGAAGTTCTAATGTCGGAAACAGTCGGGTATTATAGTTTCTTTTGATAAGACAAGAAAGATGAGACGCTTTAGAATATTGCTGGACATCCTGGGACTATCCAGACTGTGTGTGGGAGTTGTATATCATCATAAATTCTATTAGTTATTTGAAAATCTCTTGTTACAAGGAAGATTCCCATACTGTATAGCCTGTCCATCTTCAGGATCCTACTCCCAGTGAACATCAGTTTCTTGATTAAAATATATTGAAAAAGAGGATTTCTTAAAGGCCTTATGACATTTATCCAGAAAATCTGTCGCTTAAAAAACTCTATTTAACACTTTGACAAATTAAGTATTTTGATATCTAAAATTAAGTGCTGTAAATTTCCATTATAGTGGCCTTCTGGTCATAACTAGAGTTAAGTGAAATGGCTTACTTACTACGGTTTATAAAATTAACATTATTTGTTGGTACCATGATTGTTTAGAGAAAGAGAAAAGGTGGTCGGTTTACGACATGAATTTCCAAGATACTGAACGGGTATTGATGTGAGTTGGTCTACCTCGACTTCCAAGACAATTAATAAAGATCGTTGATTCTAGTGACGTGAGATACCTGTTTAGCTGAATAGGGGTTGAAACAGACTAGTGTTAAGGATTGTTTTAAAGAAGTCCTCACAAATAATAATAACCTAGAGATCATTAGGCTCTCTATTAACACACTTTATTGGAGTTGAAGGAGTTCAACTTTACCTCACTCGAAAAATAAGTAGATTTAAGAGCAGATCATATGACCATAACAAGACCTCTGAAATATCAAGTCAAGCAGTGTGAAGCCAAAATGTCCGAGTTCAAAGTTATAAATAAACATGTTCACGAAGCAACCAACTCCTCTCGGCAAGCACTTCTGTAGATATGAGCATCTGATCTCGACATAGTTTTAGTAAAGGTAACCAGCTGAAGTCACGCGACCAACTATCGAAGTCGTTCAACTTTCGAACCGCAGACGTGACTGCTATTGCTATCCTCAGAGCTTTAAGCTTAGTTACCGTAGATTAGTCAACTTTCGTTTCTCATACCAATGCTGTCCATTAGTTCATCGACAATAGAATGGGGGTGTGTACATTATCATGGTATATTTGTTGTAAGTTTGAACCTGTGTGTGAAAATCGATTGCAAAATTATTTCAGCCTGGGTTAATTAGATGCATCTAGTCTCTAAACACTCAAGGGGCAACTCGTACATTACAAGAAAGAATGTGATCACTAAAAAAGGTATCGATAAAAGCCTCCTCATGCTAACAGTTCACTTGTATGTATTGGATCAAAACTCTACACACTGAAGTAGATCGCACGAATGTAAATGCCAACCCCTCCTGTAGCAAGACCCATGACTCGTAAAACAGGCTCACCATAGCTGGCTAAAAGAAAAAGTAAGTTGACTCCATCATGTTCAGATTACACACTTTATAGCCAGTCACAGTAATCGATCTCTACACTTTCTTAGCTTCTAGATTACTGGTAAAAGGTCTCACTATCTCGATATATAATTAAAATTTTGCATACTTCACAAATGAAACATTGTACTCGCCGTTTCTTTTTAAAAAATTGAAGAATGAACAAAAGTTGTCGTTGCTGTTTACATTTGAACCCGGCGTTTTAAAATGCCAGAAACACTTTGGGAAATTGCAGTACAGCAGAATAGAACTAAGTCAGGTACTTTTCCATGGTCTATGCTTTTTACTAATAAAAAAGTACAAATAGGTACAGAAAACACATTAATTTTTGCTGGGAACAAAGGATCAGTAAGTATAATTATTTAGCATATTTGTTCATGTTTTCATCCCTTTACAGGGGAAAAGTACAATTATCAACCGATTTCTCGAAAAAGACGAAACTCCTAAATCCACTCTAGCTCTTGATTATAATTTTGGACGGAAAGGTGCCGGAAATTATCATGTTAGGTTTTTGCGAACTTATTTGTGACTTAGTAGACTCGAGTTGTGTCGCATATATGGGAGCTAGGGGGTGGTATCAGACTTTCAGATCTAATTGGTGTCGTAATGACACCCAATAACATTTTGTTTGTTACTTTTAAATTACTTAATAGCTCCTTCTATCACTTGAAGGAATCTTCACCTGATTTTAGTTATTGATCTATCCAAACCAGAGGAACTTTGGGATACTGTGGACACTTTGTTGAAGTCAGCTTCCGCTCGTGTTGATCAGATTATAAACCGTCTCCACCAAAAAAACATAACGCGCATCCAAAATATTTTTAGTGAAAAGTGGAGAAACCGAATTCCACCAACACATCCTGACATAGAACTGTTGAACCCCTTTCCTTTACCCCTCACATTCTTGGGGTCAAAACATGACCTTTTGATGGTATAAAATAATTTCATACTGAAATTCTTTAGACCCGAGACGCTGAACAGCAAAATCTAATTTGTAAAACAATCCGCTTTCTCAGCCATTTTTATGGAGCGTCTGTTTATGTATGTAAGCTCAGCATCTCTTTAATATGCTACAGTTTTCCTCCACCAAAGAAGATGGGACACTTAAAAGGATAAGGGCTGTTCTCAATCACATCGCTTTCAATGGCAAGGACATAACCAACGTCCAAATGGAAACAGGGAAACCGTTGGCAATCCCAGTTGGTGTCGACTCATTCTCAAATATCGGTAATCATTACTTGATCAGCTATGTAATTTTTTGGTAAATAAGCATTTGTAAATGTTGTAAATCACCAGCGTAGATGATCTATGTTGAATGATTGGGGGCCTACTAGAGTTGGACAGGAATGGTGTGACGAACCAGCTAACGTCGTAGTCACACCTCACAATCAGCACCTTACGTGAATTGGCCCATCGACGTATCAAGGTGCTATAGATTCTTTGAAGACTGTCCAACACAAAGGATGTCATTACAGAAATATATTAGCTAAATTAGATACAATCGAAAGTAAGAACACCGCCTCATGGGCCGTTCCATGAAGAACGATTAACTGACGCACGTTGGTCGTCCTTGACCCTGACAGAGATTGATGATCGGTTCAATATCCGGATGATTTGGCTAGGGCTTAGACACATTTCACTGACCCTATAATGTGTTTTGGTACGGAAACCAAATCGACAACTGTAGTAGGAAATAAAATTCTAAGAATTAATTTCACTCCATGTCAGAGGTTTGTGATACTGGTTTAATGTATTTATACTAAAAACCCCTTAGGTATTATTCTGCTAAAATAGAACTTTGCGAAATTTTAGTCCATATCGGTTAGTAGTGGGACTATAATTTATGGACAACCTTTAGCAACGTCAATGACCCTGAGACATACACAACAATTAAGCTGGTGAAAGTTCAGACAATCATGTATAAATATTTCGGCCTCAAAGTTAAAACTAAAATCAAACAGAAATTATGAGTCCAAATAGCTTGAAAATGATGTATCACAGATTTCAGGAGTAAATGAGATAAAAGTATAATATACCGACGACCTTGGGTTACTTATCAGTCACTCAGGAAACACGGCCTACTTATAAAACAATTAACAATGCAAAGTAATGAAACAACAGTAGAATAACAGCTTTATCGTAATAATTAACCCCCACAAGTCAAATTATCCCTCCTAGTGAAGACAAAACGTCAAATTTACATACACATATACATACTAGGAGTTAGTCTAGTACTTCGAGTTGAGGTCAACACCCTATACATTTTTTGTCACGAACAGGCATCAGTTATAATGCAAAAAGGTTAGGGTTATGTATTAAGAGTTAAACATAACTTTCGTGTTGGGTTTACAAATTGGAGTTAAGGTTTTCGATACAAATTGGCATCAGTTATAATATAATGCTTTGCAATCTTCCTGTGTACAAACTTGGGAAACTTAGGGTTAAGATTTAAAATGACAAAAGAAAGAGAGAACATTATCTAGATTCACTAAACACCTAATTATTCAATGAATAACACTCAGTACTTTGACGCAATGTGTTATGTAATTTAGCTTAAGCACTATCTAATAGATATTTTCATTGATTTTAAACATTTTGAGGACTAATTATTGCTAGTTTTTTTTTCTTATTAATAATAAAATACTTATTATTAATCAGTACACTTTAAACTGTGTGCAAAATAATTATGGTATTATCCTAATATAGTAGTATGTAAATACACGTCTAAATATTCTATACTGTTGGTGTATTTCATTGTGTCCTATAAAATACAATTACAAACTAAAACATAATTCTTGTATAAAAAAATGTTTTATAAATTTTAGGAACACCACCATATGCAAATATAGAAATAGGACGTCTTACTGCAAAATCTCCATTGGAAATGTGGAAAAATATTTTCTGTAGTAAATTTCCTCAGGTAAAATTTTATTTCTAACATTGATCATGTAAAAAAATACTAATTTAATAATCTTAATTATATTCACAATAATATTTATGAAATATACAACATAATGACTTGTCTAGTTAAACATAAGTTAAACTAATCAGTAACATTTCATTTATATAATACTGAGTTTATCATTGATTTACTAAATTGATTCCAATATAAAAACTATAATTAGTCGTATCATTTAAACCTAATTGGTACATGTGAGACGATTAGTATACCATTAAATACATCTTCAGAATTTAAAGTACTCGCAAAAACTATATGGCCTTCTTTAATTGTGTCTTTTATGTATGATCCAAGCGTGCCGTTCACTAGGTTTTCTTTGTACTGCATCTAGTCATATATATATGAACTGTAATTATAAAAGGCCCGTAGACAGAATAGAAACCAACATCAGACACTAGTCGTACGGATTCAGAAAATGAGAAAACTGTGTCATAAATTATTTAATTAATTAATCAGTTATGTCGTCTCACTACTTACTCCCCATATTTTAAATCAATAAATTATATTGGTTAGACAACCACTGATAACCAGGAAGCCTTCGACAACGTATTTCATTTTAATATGGGACTCAAAACAACTATCAACCAACATGGAAATCAGGATCTTCAATACGAACATCAAGACAGTTCTACTGTACGGATCTGAAACTTTTAAAGCTACTACAGCTATCATCGAAAGGTAAAAGCATTTATAAACAATTGTCCACGCAAGATACTCACTATCCGTTGATAAGATACCATCAACAACAGCCTACTGTGGGAGAGAACAAATCAGCTTCCAACTGAATAGGAAATTAGGAAAAGACACCCAAGGTGAATAGGGCATGTACTGAAGAAATCATCAAACTGCATCACGAGGCATGTACTAACTTGGAATCCTGAGGGGAAAAAGAAAAGAGGAAGACCAAGGGACACACTGCGACGAAAATTGGAAGCAGACATGAAAAGGATGAATATCAACTGGAAAGGATTGCCCGGGACAGAGTTGGATGGAGAATGCTGGTGAGCGGCCAATGCTCTATGTTCATCAATTATCATAGTTTTAATACATTATGCTGTTAAAATTCGATTGTCTTGGATTTTCAAATCACTGAATGATAATAGATGCCACTCTAAATCTGATTTTAACCTAATCTCCACCACATTATTTACTATTTTAAGTATAGATCCCTCAATACGTACATTTTTAGGGAATTTTCACGACGCCGGAAGTTTGTTAGTCATAATTTTAAAAACCTTAGTTTTTGTATTATGATTATTATACTGCTTTATCCTCAAGTATGTTCTACAAATAATTGAAACCTACCATGATACTTCAATTTAGATTATCTAAATACAATCATTTGTTAGTAAACATCAGACAAGTGACATCTTAAGGCTAAAGATATAGCTCGTTCAAAAAATACATGTAACATGACGTACGGTTAAATCTACATGTTACAACTAATCACCTTCAAAATGAACAATTGAACAATCCCTTCTTCCATCCCACAGTATTTTATCCTTTATTAACCCGCTAGGATATTAGATCAATTGTGGTCTTTGACTAGGAATAATCATCATTTACTATGAATATAACTCCTTATAATATATTTTAACTAACCTAGAATTACAATGAGAAAAAGGTTGAATGGTTCATGTTAATTGGTTTAAAAATATTATGGAAACTTCTAGAAGTTTCAATAATATTGAAGTAGCTACTTCATTGTTCAACAGCCAATTACTAACATACAATTAAATTATCTTCAAATTGTATCTTATGAAATTATTCCACAGATGTGATGAGAAGACTGGGGTTTTTTTTTCTTCTTTTACCATAATTAACTTATTTCTCTGTTACTATTTTTCAATTTCAGAAATCTGGATTAGCACTCTCATTGAATAATATAACACATAATTTAACAGATCCAAGTAAAGATTCACAATATTCTGAACCACTTATTGATTCTGCTCGAAAAGTAAAAGATGAAGAGTTGGAAAGTAAACGACGTCAAAATGAACGACATATGTACAATTTATTACAACAACTTACTTCAGAAGGATTAATTATTGTTTAAGTTTAATCTTATATTTTAAGTCCCACCTACGAGTGTATATGGGTGTGTGTGTGTTCTTTTAGCAGGCAAAAAAAGATAATTGTATTCAGATGAAAATTACCGTTTTACAGTTCTTTCTTTTTTTTGTTACAATACCTTCAATTTTAAAAGATTAAATGTTATCCTGATTAAATATTTCCAAATAAATGAAGTTATAATCCTTATTTTGTCATTGTTATGTCCGCTGAACGATTAACTGACTAGTGTTTGGTACTAAACATCCTAAATCCGATTACCTATATTGAAAACATAAAAACGACTAATAATGATTTATTTCAATAGTTGAGATTATGAGTCAATTGAAGCTAGACCACCATGGAAAACATGGAAGTACTGAACAGCCGTTTCGTCTTTTTGTGTGGCCCCTCAGCAGTACGCACCATCGATTTCGCCTCGTGAGATTCGAACCCAGGACCTATCGGTTCCGCACGCGAACGCTTAACCTCTAGATCACTGAGTTGGCATTCAATTGTGTTAATGTCTAAATTCAACTAATCCACAAAATTGAGCGACATATCCACTATTGTCTTTAGTGAGTTACTATCTCACAACAGACCGGGTTGATCTCGGAAATAAGTCAAAACGATATATGTATGAATAAATAAACCAAGTTTTATATGATCTATTTACAATTAGATTTGTACAATTTTAATTGAACAGTATTTATCATCAACTAATCACTAACGTACTAGGTGAACACATTTACAATATCATGCAATTAAGCATCTATAACCAACGATTGAAACCGATTGAACAATTCATATAATTACTTCCAAAAATATGATTTTGTCATAGATTATCAATTAATTTCATATGGGTTGGTCGGCAACAACGTAGATCTTCGTACGTAAGTACGTCAATTTAAGTTGCCATACCACATTAGCACAGAGATACAATTGTCAATTCAAATCCCATAGCGGTAGACGTAATAAGAGTATAGGTAGTAATCGTAAGAATTAGCACTTGAAGATGTTATTCAAGGAGTATAATCCAGTGGAATAAATTTGGAAAGAGAAAAAAGAAAAGGAACATGAAGAACTCAGAAGATTAGAACTTGGGATAGCATAAAGAGTGGATGTATCTGCACCATTGCGAACGATTTTAAGCTATGTCATTCAAGATCTCTAACCACTGGTTGCTATTGTTTCGCGGATCCCAACCAGGTAATCTACACCTACCAACATGGTTCAGTTCACTTGTCAGTGACTTCATGGATTTGTGCCGTGTTTTGTTCTGACCGCCCCCAGCTTTTCTCCAACCTACTCCTACACCAGAAAACAACTTCCTTCGGGGCATTCGGCGGTTGGGCATACATAACACATTTCCCAGCCATCTCATGTGTTTCATATGGGAATCGTACTCCAGTAGACTAAGTCATTACTTTTTATATCATATTTATCTTTCGTATTCTTTATGAAAAAAGGAAACCTGGAAGAGTTTACTCTCCTACTAGAAAATATTTCTTGTGTATTTTAAAATGAATCTTGTCATTTAATGATACTGGTGAATTAACTATCGGATATGGTGGTATATCTACTAGAAATATGTCTCTTTAAATTTATCATCGGTGAATCAATCCGACTACTCCCTTAAAATCAAAACGTTTGAATGATAAAATAAATCATTTTTCCTCAATTCCATCTTAATAATAAAACCTCAAGAAAATTCATGGACCCATAATGCTGAAACTTACTTATGCCTGTTACTCCTCCTGAAGGAACATAGCTGCTCACCAGCACTCTCTATCCAATTCTGTCCCAAGCAATCCTTTCCAGCTCTTCCCAATTGTTATTCATCCTTTTCATATCTGCTTCTATTTCCCGACGCAATGTGTTCTTTGACCTTCCATTTCTCCGCTTCTCTTCACGATTCCAAGTTAGGACTTGCCTCATAATACAATTTGGTGATTTTCTCAATGTATGTCCTATCCATTTCTATTGTCTTTTCCTAATTTCCTCTTCAGTTAGAAGCTGATTTGTTCTCTCCTACAATGTCGAATGGTTCTCAATTTTTTTTAAACGAATAAACTGTCTTATACAGTTTTAGATACAATGTGTTGATCATAAAATGTCAACTATTCAACCCCTACCAAGATTGCTGATTATAGAACAACTCATAGAAATACAAAGAGTAACCAATGCGTGTAAAAAGAGGATAAAAAGATACAATAGTAATATTTAAGAATATGTACAAGACTGCCTATTAAACAACTGAAAATAGTGTAAATAAGCCATAGAATTACAAAATGCATAAGATCTACATCACATCAATTAATTTTAATTGTGACCATTTAACGTTTCTCTTTAACCATGGATTTATGTTGTATTATGGACACCAACTGGAACGATGATGATATCTACTCTGCATATAATTTTGAACTCTATTTATCTGTACCAAACATCGTCTATAAAATAAATTGTTCCAACTGCAAAAAACACTACATCGGACAAACTGGATCCCCCTTTGGTCTTCGCCTGCACGAACATAAACTAGCGATCAAACCCCATGACATATCTTCATTTATATCAATACATATGGGCACATTCGACCGGAAAAACGGTGAGACCTTGAAGAGAGGGAATACTAAAAGCATCTGAAAATTTTTAGAAGCTTGGCAGCCAACTCATTCAGTAATCAACAAATACATTGAAATCTATCCAATCTATCAATCAGAAAAACTATGGACAAACATAGGACCAAGAATCAGATCAAAGGGATATACAACCAAAATAAGGAGTTAGGCAATGACGGGCTACAGGTCAACAATAACCAATTAAGTTTGATGTCGATAGGACAAACTGTGAGTCAAATTTTAAAATTTAACTTCATCCTGAAGCTTGTGCTGCTGATGATGTTATTCAGAAGAACAATGAAAGCTCCACGACCAAACCATCTAGCTCAGAGAATTAAGCTCCACCTAAATATATGTACTACTTTCTAATATTCAATAGCTTATGTTATTGCCATTCATTTTAAAACGTGGAGCTCATTGTCTCCATTGTAATTTGCTGATATTCTTAAGTGGATACATACATTCTTGACGTTTTATTGTTGTCGTTGTAAACTCTTACTATTCTTAATTGTTTGTCTTCATTTCGTTCTTAGATTACTAGTATTCCATCATAGATGTCTTTAAAGAATTTTTCGTGTATTTTGGGACCACATAATAAGCTAGTAGTAGTAAGTAGTAAGTTACGAATAGGGTACTATGCAAAGATGAAAAACCGGTTGATGAAGTAGTAAATCTCCAATAAAAGTGGTTAGAACATGTGTCACGTATGCCAACCATCGCTTACCTCGACATGGAATGTTGTCTGGTGTAGAAGTAGGAGTAGAAAATCTAAGGGTAGCCGAACCAAAACATGACGTTAGTCCCTCAAGCCACTGACAACTAGATTGAGCCATGTCAGTAGGCGTAGAATATCAGGTTGTGGTTTGTATGATTATCGTAACTTATGATTAAAGACTTTAAATGACATATCGCAAATTTGTTGGAAATTACACTCGTGCATCCATTCTTTTTCTTCCCTCAAATCCTGAATTCCTAATATCTATTTTGTGTTTTCATATTTTTCTGAATTGTACTGTGACTACCACTACTGTTCTAGGATTTGGACTGACTTTTCCATTTCTCTGTATTAATGACATATGATAACGTGAACCGATATATGTACATACAAGGTTCCACGTTGCGACTAACTGAATGACTTTTCACAAGTTGAAATCATGAGTCAGTTGAAGCAAGACCACCATTGAAAACCTGAGAGCACTGGACGGCCGTTTCGTCTTGGTATGGGACTCCTCAGCAGTGTGCATCACGACCCCGCACCACGCGGGGCTCGAACCCAAGACCTACTGGCTTCGCGCGCGAGCACTTAACAACTAGACCACTGAGCCGGCATCCAACGGTGTTAATGTCTAACTTCAACCAATCCACGAAGTTGCGCCACCGTACACCATTGTCTTCAGTGAGTTGTTATCTCACAACAGACCGGTTGAACTCCACTGGTAACGGCTTCTCACTAGAACTCCAGGAGTTTTTCCTGAAGTTAGTCACTAGTGAGCAGTTGATTATTATCAGAATGGGTTTTGTGGAGAGTTTAAGAAATTTCACAAGTTGAAATCATGAGTCAGTTGAAGCTAGACCACCATTGAAAACTTGGAAGTACTGGCCGGCCGTTTCGTCCTGGTATGGGACTCCTCAGCAGTAGATTTGATATTGTGTAGTTTAACTGGTTGATTGTCATTACTGATTTGACACAAATTGGTAGTTGTATTCCATTTATCTTGTGTTTCTATAAATCAATTCTTTGTTAATTGTTTAAAAGGCTCACCTTCCCTCAACTTTTAACCTAAAGTGTCATTAGTGCATTAGATACCTTATGGTTTAGGCTTGTAAACTATACTGTCCATATTGATTTTATATAAACGGTACCGTCTTTTTTAAGACAAATTTTGTCGTGATTTTGAGATTTGATGTGTCAATTAATCGTCCGATCAAGATCTTCGGATGGATTCAATAAGTGATTTTGACTTCCTGATGTTTAGGAGCTTCTATTTTATCCAGCTCAGCTTTTGATTTGAAACACATTATTGGTTCACTTTAAAATTTTGCACCCATGCCTGTTTACTAAAATTATCAAATGGTATTCATAAGTGTTTACTGTTTAACATGATGTAGATTCTATGAGACTTACTCAACAATTCTCATCCAGTCAGTATAAGATTAGCCCGAGAACACTATGCTACAGTGAAAAACAATAAAAGTCTGAAAACCTCGAATTATGATGTCTCTGAACACCAATTACATTGTCAAGATCACTTTTATAAGAACATGAGATCGTTGTATCAACAAATAATTACCAAGTGACAAAATAGACTATAAAATAGCAAAACGTACATCTATGTGTCAAGTGGGAGTATAAATGATTAACAAAAATAAGTAATAATGACATCTAATA